AGAAGAAGAAGAAGAAAAAAGAAGAAGAAGAAGAAGAAGAAGAATAAGAAGCAGAAGAAGAAGAAGAATAAGAATAAGAAGAAGAAAAAGAAGAAGAAGAAGAAGAAGAAAAAGAAGAAGAAGAAGAAGAAGAATAAGAAGAAGAAGAAGAAGAAGAAGAAGAAGAAGAAGAAGAAGAAGAAGAAGAAGAAGAAGAAGAAGAAGAAGAAGAGGAGGAGGAGGAGGAGGAGGAGGAGGAGGAGGAGGAGGAGGAGGTCCAAAGAGGTCGAGCATGTCTTGTCCTACCTGGGCCTCCCGTTGGCCCAGCTCCGCTGCATGCTCCGCCTCCGAGGCTCGTGCCTGCTGGCCCACGGCCAGCGCTTCGCCCTCCGGCTCTGCCTGGGTCTGGTGGCAGCGCCCTCGCCGTCGGCGTGCCATCTGCAGGCGCTCTTCCTCGCCTCGCCGAGCCCCGTTCGCGGCCTCGACCAGCGCTCGCGGTCGAGCCCTTGTTCGCGGCCTCGCCGAGCCCTGCTCGCGGCCGAGCCCTGTTCGAGCCCTGGTCGGAGCTTCTCTTCTGCTCCTGGAGCGCCTCCCGAGCCTGCATGGCGAGGTGGCGCTGCATCCGCCGCAGTGCTGCGCCGGCCTCGTCCTGCCGGTGCTGCGGATTCCCGCTCTGCCACTTGCGGTCGGCAGCCTGCTGGTGCTCGACTTCGCGGTGGGCGGCACTCCTGATGTCGTCCCCCTCGCGTTGGTGAGCTCGCTGTTGGCGCTCCAGTTGCTCGGAGACCGCATGCAAGGTCTTCTGGGCCACGGCCTGCTCGCAGCTTCGTAGTCTGACCGCGTGACTCCGCTCCGTCTCCATCAGCTGGGCCTCGAGCTCTGCAGTTCCCTCTGGATGGCTGGCAGGCTGAGGAGCCGCTGGTGGCCTGGGGCGGGCTGCTGCCTTTTTGGCCGGGACTCTGGGCCCTGCAGCCGTGTCGTCCTGGGAGGCCTGGCTGCCGCCGGATGCGGCGTGTGCGCACGCCCTCTGCCTCCGCCTCCGCCTCGTCCAGCTTGCTCCGCATCGGCTTCGGTCTCGGACTCTGGCGGCGGGCCACTGGCTGCGGCTCTCGCCATCATGTCCTGGGTCTCGCGGGCCAGCACCTCGTATCTCGGCGCGGCTCCCTCGTGGCCTTCGCTTCCTCGTCCAGCCGCGCTGCGGTCCTGGCTTGGAAGCTGGGGAGCTCCTCTTCGGCCCGCCCCAGGGTGGAGCGAAGCTGGCGGAGCCTCTCCAATGCCGGGGTCACGAATGTGATGTTCGCCGCCGTGACCGCTGCCTCATACTCCAGGTTGGTGGATGCCCCGCCTGCGGATCGGGCTCCAGCGATGTTGCCCGCCAGCCTGGCGAGGCGCTGGCTGCGGGTCTTCCGCCATGCCTCGAGCATCTCTGGGTCGGACGGCTGCGAGCTCCACGACTCATGACCCCGCGCCTCTTCGTAGGATACTGGCAGCACCATGTCGAGCACGGCATTCTGCTTCTCGGTGAAGCTGCTCTGCTGCTGTGGCTGCTGTGGCTGGGGTGCCTGCCGTCCTGCTGCTGGGGCTGCGGCGCCTGTCGGGCGGCGACTGCGCCTGCGTCTGCTGGTAGGCGTGTCCTCCTGCCATTCGTTCTGCTGCCATTGGCCTTGGGACCAGGCAGCGCCCTGCCACTTCTGCTGGGTCCATCTTGTGCTGGTCTGGTGCTGCTGGTTGCGCTGGGTGCTGCACGCACGCTGCGCACGCCATGGCCATGGGCTCTCTCCAACTGCTGGGCCAGATGACCTCTTCGTCTGGCCAGCATTGCCCGCGGCACGCGACATCCTGTCGTCCGCTGCTGGTGGTGCTGCGGCTGCTGAGCGCTGTGGTGCTCCCCGAGGAGCCTGCTCGCGCTGATGGCCCTCTGGAGAAGCCGCGCCTGTGCGCGCTTCTCTCGGGCTCGCCCGTGCCAGGCGCTCTCCTGAGCTGGCGTTGCTCCTGCCGCACACGGCGGCGGCGGGGCGCCCGACAGGCGCCTCCTGGCTCGCGGCTGCCTCTGCCGCGCTGCGGTGGGCTGCGCGCCCGAGCCCAGGCGGGGGGCCCCCTGTGGCCTGCAATCGCCCGCGGCGCGGCACCATGGGGGCGGCGGCGGTCGCCCCCTGGCGCGCTGGCAGGGGGGGGGGGCTGTCCTCAGCCTGTGGCTTCCTCTCCATCTCCTCCTCCTCCTCCCTCCTCCTCCTCCTCCTCCTCCTCCTCCTCCTCCTCCTCCTCCTCCTCCTCCTCCTCTCCCGTTTTTCTTCCCTCCTTTGCCATGCATTCGTTTTCCCTGCCACCCTGCCCCCCCTGTCCCATCAGCGCGGGGAACATCCCCAGCCCCGCGCCTCCTGGCATGAGGAGGAGAGGAGGAGGAGGAGGAGGAGGAGGAGGAGGAGGAGGAGGGAGGAGAGGAGGAGGAGGAGGAGGAGGAAAGATGAGGAGGAGGAGGATGAGGAGGAAGAGGAAGAGGAGGAAGAGGAGGAAGAGGAGGAAGACGAGGAGGAGGAGGAGGAGGAGGAGGAGGAGGAGGAGGAGGAGGATCCGTAGCCCGTAGCCATTTGGGCTCGAGTGTTCTTCTGCACACTCACACGGATTCCTCAGCAGTGTTTCATTCCATTCCTGAGCACTTCTCAGCATAGTTTCATTACTTTCCTGAGTAGTTCTGCAGCCTGGTAGCTGTGGCGATGGGGCGGGAGCTGCAGGCAGCGGCCTTCTCCTCCCTGCTCGAGGGCATCAAGGCGGCGGGGCTTCGGCGGAAGCTGGTGGAGCACCTGATGCGCCATGCGGTCGCGGAGGCTGCGGCAGCTATCTTCCAAGGCTCGGAGCAGACCGATCCTTTGGAGTGCGAGCCCTGCCAGGTGTTGAACAAGTTCGAGGGCACCTTGAGGCGTGCTGGCAGCTGCATGGGCTTGGACCAGGCCGCCACCACAGAGCAAGTGCGCAAGAAACTCGTGGACAATGGGCTGAAACACCTCGTCAAGGAATGGTTTTCATATCGGGCTGGGCGACGTGCCTGCGCCCACCCTCCAGGGGACATGCAGCAGAGGGTGCTCGCGGCGCTGAACAGCGACAGCATGTGCAGCGAGATCAAGCATGGCATGCCAACGGAGACCCAAGCGAATGCGAAGAAGAAACACTTGGTGCGCGCAGGCCTGCGGTGACCTGCGTCCGTGAGCGCTGCCAGCACGGGCAGCGGCGATGCGGGCAGCCTCGACGCAGGGTCCGACCTTGACAAGGGGACCGTCGGGATCGCCGGTGCGGGCGACACCAGTGTCTTAGATTTGCGGGCCATGTTGGCCGACTTGCAGCAGCAGCAGCACGAGTCGACAAAGGCCGCGGCAAACAATGAGACGAAGCAGTTGAAGCAGCAGGTGGATGAGCTGCGCGCTAAGCTCTCCGAGGGCGAGCTTCCTGGCACAGCCATCACCATGCCCGAGCAGGACCTCTCTGGGAGGAGTCACGGGCAAGAGCAGTGGCCAGCAGTGCATCACAGCGAGCTGGAGACCAGGGAGGCGCAGCCCAACCTGCATGCTGATGGAGGCCGGGCTGAGGCATTTGACAGTGGAGCTGATGACTCGGAGTATGGCTCCACGTGTCTCTCAGACACCGCCTCAGCGGACTATGGCACAACTGTACACATTCAACATCTTCTGATAGAGACTCCAGAGTGTGAGCGTCACCGTCTCTTGAATAGGGTTGCTGACATATTCGTGACGAGTAGTGCGCCTGTGGTGTACAACGCCGCCACGGCCAGCAAGGTATCCGCACAGATGGTTACCGCATTCTTCGAAACCTGGCACCCCACTATCAAGGCCGACCCGGCTTCGGGGAGCATTTGTCCAAAGCTGTTACACGGCGTCGCCGTTTTGGTCCAGGATCTATGGAGTAGTCCAGGCCAGGGCCCTCCCTGAACAGTTAGTCTGTGGGTCGTTTCGAGTATTTGTCCGCGTGTGTGTGTGTGTGTGTGTGTGTGTGTGTGTGTGTGTGGTTGTGTGTGTGTGTGTGTGTGTGTGCGTCTACAGGGCCCTCGGGCTGTTCTGCAGCTGTTGAGGGACTCTGCACCTCCTCCCTCCGCATGCAGGAGCAGGCTTGCCCTTGTCCGAGCTTGATGTGCATTTGCAGGGGTGGGTGGGGGGAGGATGTGGGGCGGGAAGAAGGATCGCGAGCAGGCTATGCCTGGGGCTGGCCAGCGCAGCCCAGGACCAGACGCCAGGTGCAGAGAGCATCTGGCTCTGCCTCGCCTCTCCCCTTCTCCCTTTCCTCCTCTTGACATATCCCCCTCCTCCTCCTCCTCTTCCTCCTCCTCCTCCTCCTCCTCCTCCTCCATCCTCCCACGTCCAGCAGCAGAGCAGGCGACGGGCGCCCCTGGCCACAGCCAGGGCTATGCTTTAGTGGGGTGGGGAATGGGGGGGTAGAGGAAGGGACGGGGACTACGACGCGACGACGACGACCCCGACGGTGACGACGTGCCGAGACGGCACTCGCTGTCGGCCATTGTCCGCCCCACCGTCATTCAGCAGCTTGAAGTAGCTGCTGGACCCGCCGCTTCCCGCTCTCGGGGCGGCCCGAGATCACGCCGTGGCTGTGTCTACTCAGGAGTTGACGCACCTTTCGCCAGGCGCCTCGCAGCCCCTAAACAGCGAAGTGGTAAGGGTCCATTTCGAGTGTTAGGGCTGTGTTGTGTGTGCGTGGGGCGTGCGTGCGTTTAGATGTTTGGGCCCCTCTGGCTTGTGTAGCCGCAGAGGGTCTCTGACCTCGCCTTCCCCCTTCCCAGAAACATAATCCTAGAGCAAGCACGTTCGGCCACGGCTTGCCGAGTTCTCGAGGGAATGGCGGGGGGTAGAGAGGGAAGGGAGAGAGGAGTGGCTTCGTCATCGCGCGGCTTTGCCCAGGGAGGCAGGCGCAGATGCAGCGAGGAGGAGTGCCTAGAGAGGCGGGCCTCTTCATATTTTTGTACATTCCTGTGCCCTGCTTGGTGCATGGGCTTTGTA